AATTTCTCTCAGTAAAAACTGCAGTCTGTCAGTTCTGTGCAGAAAGATGCACATTTTCATGAGGAAGGTCAAGGTTCTTTGCTGAACTGAACTATGATTTTTTCACGGCACAACAAAAATGTCCAAATTCAACAATAAGAGCAGAGCTGAGCTTCTGTCTCAGAGGAGCCGCCTCTGGAGGAGAGCTCTAAGTGTTTTGGAGGAGGAGTGTGATAGCAGAGAGTCTCCACCAGAGGGCACTGTCCTCTTTCACTGAATCAAGATGTGAATAAACGCTCGAGCCTGGCGCAGGTCATGTTTGCTTCAATCCTCAGTAAATGAATGAATAAATAACATAACAACATCACAAACATACAGAGGAGAGAAGAGCTGGGGAGGGAGAAAGATTACAGAAGAGATAGAGGAGGAGAGAGGAGTGAGAGGTGAGGAGTGAGGAGGACACCCTGAGGAAGTGGCAGCAGGGTACAGTAGCTCCTGTAGATGTCCTGAAAACCACTGCCCTGTTAAGTTGCCTATCAGTGCCTTTTGCAGATGTGCATGATGCAGTCATTTCTCTTGTGCACTGGGCTCACTCTCACCTGGATAGTGTTAAGGCTCTGTGAGGAGACTGTTTTTCAATTTCTCCAGTGCCTTTAACACAATCCAGCTCTTTCTGATGAGTGAGAAGCTGCTCAGGATGGTGTCAGCTCCTCCAGTGTCTCCTGGATTACTGACTACCTGTCAGGCAGGCCTCAGTACGTGCGACAGGGAGCACCCTGTCTGATAATGTGATCAGTAATAGGAGTCCCCCAGGGTACAGTCCTGTCTCTGTTTCTGTTCACTCTGTTCACCTCTGATTTCCAGTACAGCTCTGGGTCCTGCACCTGCAGAAGTTCTCTGGTGACTCTGTGGTGGTTGGGTGTATCACAGATGGACAGGTGCTGGGACAGGTGCTGGGACAGGTGCTGGGGTGTATCAGAGTTGATCAGGAGCTGGAGAACAAGACACTGATTGCAAACTTTATGGAGTGGTGGAGGAAGAGGACACCAGTGGAGCCCGTCACCATCCAGGATCATGAGGTGGAAATAGTGACTGATACAAGAACCTCGACATCCAGATGAACAACAGACTGGACTGGAGGGACAACAGTAACACTGTGTACAAGAAGAGCATGACTGGACTCGACTTCCTGAGAAAGATCAGGTCTTTCAATGTGTGCAGCAAGTTACTGGAGATCTTCTCCCAGTCTGTGGAGACCAGCTCCCTGAACCTGGCTGTGATCTGCTTGGGGAGATGCTCATGTGATCGACTGTGAGCTGGAGACATTTGTCACAGTGAGGGACAAACTGCTCTCCATCATGAACACTCCTGCTCACCCACTGCAGCAGACTATAGAGAAACAGATAATACTCCCTACAACTGTACAACAACTCACCCACTGCAGCAGACTATAGAGAAACAGATAATACTCCCTACAACTGTACAACAACTCACCCACTGCAGCAGACTATAGAGAAACAGATAATACTCCCTACAACTGTACAACAACTCACCCACTGCAGCAGACTATAGAGAAACAGATAATACTCCCTACAACTGTACAACAACTCACCCACTGCAGCAGACTATAGAGGGACATATAATACTCCCTACAACTGTACAACAACTCACCCACTGCAGCAGACTATAGAGGGACATATAATACTCCCTCCAACTGTACAACAATTCACCCACTGCAGCAGACTATAGAGGGACAAAGGAGCTAATTCTCCATCAGGCTCCTACAGCTCCACTCAAACATACAGATATACAGGACTACATTCATACTATAATACTCCCTACAACTGACAGCAACAACTCACCCTTATGTACAGAGAACCCTGTGTCCTGTCAATCATCACATCATTTTACACTGTTTCCTTGTGACCTCTTGTATAAAGCTGAGATATTTTATTTCTTATTTTTCTTATTTTGACTTGTACATTTACATTTTTATAATTATGTCTTATTTGACAAGTGTCTCTTGCTCTTTTTTGCTACTTATTTAGATTTTATTATTACCATTTATATGTTTTCTCTTTGTTATTCTATTATATTGTGATGTGTAACTCCTGTGTCCAAATCATTTCCTTGTGGTTCAATAAAGTTTGTCTCAGTCTAAAAGGAAAGAGAACATAGGACTGATTTGTTTGTCCTCGTGTGTCACAGGTCAAATCAGAACGTGGGCAGTGCTCCTCAAACCTCTGAAGAACACCAGTGCTAAAAAGTGTAACTGTAGATGAAAGTACTGTTACTTCAAATATTAGTACTCACTTACATGTATGAAGTAGCAGTGTAAAAGTACCTGATTAATAAGTGGAAGTTGCTTTAATGAGAAGGAAAAGTCTATAAATGCTGCCCACAATGTGATCATTTCAAGTGTCCAGTACAAAGAAAGAAAATATGTCTCCTGCATTTGACCCATTCTTCAGTGTCTCTGCATTAAACCTGTATTTGACCCGTCCTTCAGTGTTTCTAGGTCACACCTGTATTTGACCCGTCCTTCAGTGTCTCTGGGTCACACCTGTATTTGACCCGTCCTTCAGCGTCTCTGGGTTACACCTGCCAGGAGCAGTGGACCCATCTCCAGGTCTTGAACTGGTGGTCCGGGTCAGCACTGCGTTAGCTGGAGGACTGGGTCTGTGGTGCATGTTCTGGGTTTATGTGAGTCCCTGGGATCAAACCCGTGACCTCTCTGCTGTGGGGAGACAGTGTTAACCACTCTGCCACCGTACAAAACGACAGGTGAGTGGAGAGAGAGTGCATTTACTGTACAAACATGTCAAGAGAAGGACAGGACAGGTGCAGCAGACATGAACAGGACAGGTGCAGCACGCAGGGCAGGACAGGTGCAGCACACAGGGCAGGACAGGTGCAGCACACAGGGCAGGACAGGTGCAGCACACAGGGCAGGACAGGTGCAGCACGCAGGACAGGTGCAGCACACAGGGCAGGACAGGTGCAGCACGCAGGTGAGGACAGGTGCAGCACACAGGGCAGGACAGGTGCAGCACACAGGCAGGACAGGTGCAGCACGCAGGACAGGTGCAGCACGCAGGTTAAACAGCTGAGACTTTCTCAAACCATGAAGAAAATTATTTATTCATGTTCAGTCCTGTTCAGAGGTGTGGTGTGTACTTCCTGCTCTCAAATGTACTCAAGTAATGTAGTGAATGGAACTATATAATGAGTGGAGTGTGCAATATTTTAGTGTCTGGCCCCTGTGACCCCAGCCCTTGGGACAACGGATGGAAATTAGCCTTAGGCTACAATCCGGTGTGTTTACATTCATGTTGTCATGTTTGTTCATTAACATGCTCTGTCCCAATCAAATAAATAAATAAATAAAGTAAAAGTATTGAATATAGTTGGGATCCAAAATGCACACTTCTCCAAAGTATTTTTACTCTAATACTTTACACCCACACCCATGTTACTTCAGATGTCACTGAAATAAATTCGGCAAACGTTTAAACAGTTACACCCAACACTGTCCCACCTCTGTGTCCCCCTCTGTGTCCCACCTCTGTGTCCCCCTCTGTGTCCACCTCTGTGTCCCACTCTGTGTCCCTTCTGTGTTCCACCTCTGTGTCCCCCTCTGTGTCCCCTTCTGTGTTCCACCTCCAGGAGAACGAGGTCAGGGTTACTGCACCACGTGTCATCCACATAAACCCTGTTCACACGGGATTAGTTTGACCTGTGACCTTTGGTGATTTGTAATAATTGTGGAGGATTCATGAGTCTTAATCCCGAGTGAATGCGCCTGTCATGTGTACAGTAAAAATTCCACCTCAAATGACCAAATATATTCACCCAAACACAGACGTCCGCTGATAAAACTAGTCCGAATCTACATCTCACTGTTTGTTGTTGTTGTTGTAATTACGCTTTTTAAAAAATCTCTTTCTTTCCTTTCCGTGCTTTTCTCTTTTAATCTCAGTCAGTGCCAGTAAAACAGAGTCATTTACAGACTTTGTTTATCCCGTCGCAAATAACACAGAGGTGGATCTTGAATTTGCAGATGCCCACACGTCCTCAGGATGGATTGATCGCGTGCCAACAGGACTAAAGTCGCTTTTCCAAACGCACGGTCACTTTACACTTTGGTGCATTCTTCATTCACTCCACGCTCGGTGACGTAAGACACAACTGTACCCACGGCTCGAGAGTCTTGCCTAAGGACACAGCGATGCAACAAGTGATTTATTTAATTTCATTTTTATTTATTTTTTGCTCTTGGCGCCCCGCTGTGACATCTCATATTCCCAACGGTCTCCTGTCCAAGTCCCAACCGCCGCGCGCACTGCTGTTACGCGCGTACACCCTGCTTTTATAATGTTATAGATGAAACAAAGAGCCCTCCTCACACACACACACACACACACACACACACACACACACACACACACACACACACACACACACACACACACACACACACACACACACACGCACAGGCGCGCGCACATCTTCGCTCCGCTCAGTCTGCGCAGCACCTGTTGAACCAACCAGCGAGCGCGGAACATGGCTGACAGCGCGTGCGTACGGCCCCTCCACAGGCATTTACCAGACCCGTCCCCCCCTCCTCCCTCCTTTCCCCCTGGTTCCCACACGCACGCGCAGACACACGCACGCGCTGCTCTGCCCCGCGGCCAGATGGATGGGGTTAATATGACGGTTAAGCGGCGCGCTGATGGTTCCTGTTTACGGCACGGTTGCTAGGCAGTAACATCAGCTGATCCCGTCTCTCTCTAATCCCATGCGTCTCTCTCTTTCTCAAATCTCTCTTTCTCTCTCTCTTTCACACACACACATACACACACATATACACACACACTCAGTCAGTCACACGCGCGCCGCCGCTCACTCTTCCAGACGCTCGGACGCAGGCACCGGAGCAGCCGAGAGCGGAGCAGCCCCAGGACAGCCCCTCATGTAGCCCCGTGGATTCTGGAGCGTGGATCGGGAGTAGGACCGCATGCATGACACAACGCAAAGGCGAGAAACCCACCATCAGCATCCAAGAGCACATGGCTATTGACGTGTGCCCGGGACCCATCCAGCCCATCAAGCAGATCTCGGACTACTTCCCCCGGTACCCGCGCGGTCTGCCCCCCGCCGCTCACCTGGGCCCGCCGCTCCGAGCCCAGTCCTCCAGCGCCAGCACCGCCTCCTCCACGGCCGACGGCTCCCATGAGGACGCACACGCGCTGGACAGGCCGGCGCTCGGGCCAGTGGCGGCCGGAGCCTCGGGGTGTTCTGCGGGCTCCAGGAGGGACGAGGAGCCGGACGTGGAGGGCTATGACTCGGACGACTCCAGTGAGTAGAGCCGGCGGTGTGTGTGTGTGTGTGTGTGTGTGCGTGCGTGCGTGTGCGTGTGTGTGTGTACAGGTCTGACACCAGTTGCTCGGCGCTGCAGACTGCGTGTGTTGTAGCAGAGAGCCGCTTGTTTTCAAAACAGGAGGCGACTGAAACTAACCGCAGCTTTCACAAGGAGGAGAAATAAGAGCCTTGCCACAGAGATTAACAATTTAAACAACAGGTTTTATCCTTTGAACGGGAAAAGTCTCAGAATGTTGTACAACAGGAAGCTGAAACAGCAGCCTTGTCTGGTTTATGATTCCATCGGCCTCCAGGACGCACAGTGTCACTGAAGTCACTCACAGAAGAGTCAAGTGAAAGACTGAAGATTTGTTTTCCATTTGATCCAAAAAGAAAAGAGTAGCACACAACAGCACGCTACATTAAGTAAAGTTGGACTGTGTAACTTTTCACATGTGTGTTCCAGCACCTGCTTGTCTTACTGTTTTAGCTGGAATGTTCCACAGTATGGCATTAAACTGACATATGTACAGTGTGAAAGTACAGCGCATATGTATTCTGAACATTTTTCAGTTACTTATTCATTTGGAGGTATTCAGAATACAGTTCATTTTAAAAATTCTTTAGAGTACATCGTTTTGCTCGATCGTTCAGTTTACACTTCACATATGCTGCAGGATCTGAGAGAAAAACACACAGTGTGCTCTTGTGCCGTCTTTCCTTCTCCTGTGAATAATAAACCAAAGCAGAACAAACACTGAAACAAACAGAGAGGTGTTGATCACCGGATGTTGTGTTTCTACACGTTCATTTAAATGCAACTTGTGTAAAAGTATTCTAAGTATTCAGAATGCAGTACTCTGGTCGGCCCGTGTATCAGAATACAATTACAAAAATACATTTGAATGCAGGTGATCAGTGACTAGAAACAGTTGCAGAGGATTCGTACCATCCCAGTGTGTGGAACATGTGTGTTTACATGTGTGTTTACATGTGTGTAGTGACACAGACTGTGTGTAAATGGACACACTGCCCACCACGTTAAGGAATAGGAAATTGACATGTGGCTGTTTCGGCTCCTTCTGACTCTGGCTCCCATTGACTTACACTGGAACATTGTGGCTCGTCTCTCTGTACCTGCTGCTGTGAGCCTCGTCGTTTTGGTCTTAAAATGTTCATATTAACCCTTGACACATGATCCTGGTGTTTTTATTTTAGTTTAGTTTTTTTCTATGCTCTTTTGTCTGTTAAAAAAGTCCTCCTCAAAATATGGAACCTGGCTCCAGATTCGCTCCTGGAACCAGCGGCATCAGTGAGCCTCATTTGACTGGAGCTGAACTCTGTGGGTGACGTGAGGAGAAAAATTCAGTTTGTCGACTGGACAAAAGTGAGTTTGGTTGAAGACGTTTCGCATCTCATCCAAGCTGCTTCTTTAAGAAACTGACAAACTGAATTTTTCTCCTCATGGATTCTACCTGGACGACTGAGGGATTCTTCACACATCTGTGGTGACGTCACACTCGCTCAGTTCTCTTGTTTATAAAGTCTGTGTAGAAGCAAAAGCCAAACCATCACATCTGCTTTGAGACACGCTGGTGAACGGAGAGAAGGAAAGAACCATAGCACAGTCTGTTGTACGTGTAGTGTTGGGAAGGTGACTTTTAAAACCTATCCCCCTACAGATTACAGATTACATACCCCAAAATGTAGTTTGTAACATAATCCATTAAGTTACTTTAGGCGAGTAATGTAATCTGAATACTTTGAATTACTTGATTTGCTGTAGAGAAACAAAGACGAGGAAATTATAAGATAAGACGTTTACTGAATCGTATTAAAAATATTATTGATGGAAGAGGAGGAGACACGCCCACGCAACAGGGTTTAGTCCTGGTTTAGTCCTGGTTTAGACCTGGTTTAGACCTGGTTTAGTCCTGGTTTAGTGCTGGTTTAGATCAGGTTTAGACCTGGTTTAGACCTGGTTTAGTCCTGGTTTAGTCCTGGTTTAGATCTAGTTTAGACCTGGTTTTAGTCCCGGTTTAGACCTGGTTTAGTCCTGCTTTTAGTCCTGGTTTAGATCTAGTTTAGACCTGGTTTTAGTCCTGATTTAGATCTAGTTTAGACCTGGTTTTAGTCCTGTTTTAGATCTAGTTTAGACCTGGTTTTAGTCCTGGTTTAGATCTAGTTTAGACCTGGTTTTAGTCCTGGTTTAGATCAGGTTTAGACCTGGTTTTAGTCCTGGTTTAGATCTAGTTTAGATCTAGTTTAGACCTGGTTTAGTTTCCAGTAAGGAGTGGAATTACCAAAAAAAGAAAAAAAAAAGAAAAAATACAGCCCAAAATGTGAAAACAGGAAAATCCTGCCATGTAATCCATTTATTTCAACAAAGTAATTACCACTCACTGAAACAGTAACTGTAACTGAATACAGTTACTCACAATTTGTACTCTGATTACATAACTCCAGTACATGTAATCTGTTACTCCCCAACACTGTTTGTACGTGTGGTGATGTGACTGTGGTGACGGGATTTGAACGTTCTGCTGCTGTTTAAGAAATGAAACGTGTGAATGAAACAGACCCAGGTGAGCAGGTGTCCAGGTGAGTTTGTGATGAGGAAACATCAGAGTGTAGATCAGAACACGGCGGAACATGAACTCTTTAAAGTGCACCACAGATTTTCAACTTTTCTCCTTCTGACTTGGTTTGGTGAATAGTTCCTGTGCTGAATGAAGTTTTCCATCCGTTTAGAGGCAGTCGGTGCAAAAAACTTGAAAAGAAATGAATCCATAAAGTTGCTCTGGTTCTTCATGGACCTCGACTTGTCACCAACACGATAAACTCCATCCAGAATGTACAAACAAAAACACAAAAACACACTGCACTCACTCATATCTCTCCTCTTTCTCTTTTTGCTCTCTCTACCTCTGCATCTTACTCCATCCTCCCTCTCTCTCTATCCCTCTGTTTTCTTCTCTCCCCACACTCTCTCTCTTTCTTTCTCTCCCTCTATATCTCACTTTTATCTTCTCTTTCTTCTACTCTCATCTTTCCTCTCTCTTCCTCACGGAACCTCTTTTTACTCCCTCTCTTCTCCCTCCTCTTCCTCTTTCCCTCTCTCTCTTCCTCTCTTTTACAACTTGTACCCTCCCTTCTCCTCTCTTCTCCTCCTCCCTCTCCATCTTCTCCTCTCTCTCTCCTCCTCCCTCTTCATCTTCTCCTCTCTCTCTCCTCCTCCCTCTTCATCTTCTCTCTCTCTCTCCTCCTCCCTCTTCATCTTCTCCTCTCTCTCTCTCCTCCTCCTCTTTCATCTTCTCCTCTCTCTCTCCTCCTCTCTCTTCATCTTCTCCTCTCTCTCTCCTCCTCCCTCTTCATCTTCTCTCTCTCTCTCCTCCTCCCTCTTCATCTTCTCCTCTCTCTCCACCTCTCTCTTCATCTTCTCCTCTCTCTCTCCTCCTCCCTCTTCATCTGCTCCTCTCTCTCTCCTCCTCCCTCTTCATCTTCTTCTCTCTCTCTCCACCTCCCTCTTCATCTTCTCCTCTCTCTCTCCACCTCCCTCTTCCTCTTCTCCTCTCTCTCTCCCTCTATATCTTACTCTCTCTCCTCTTTCTCTTTTAACGCTCTCTCTCTCACCTTCTCTCTCCCTTCCTCCCTTCCATTTCTTTCTTGGCATTCATTTCTTTTTTCATTCCCTCTCTCCCTCTCTTTCCTCTCCTCCACCTCCTCCCTCTCATTTTCTTCTCCTCCTTTTCCCGTTCCTTCTCTCTCTCCCTTCCTCCCTCGACATCTTTTACTCCCTCTCTCCACCTCCTCCTCCTCCTCTACCTCTCTTTTCAACATTCCAACTTTCTTTCCCCATCTTCCTCTCCTCCTCCCTTTCTTTTTCTCTTTTTCCTGTCCTCCTTCCCCCTCTCCTTCTCTCTCCTCGTCCCTCTCTTCTCGCTGTGAGAGGAGGCAGCGTCAGGCTCTTCCTCCTCGATCCTTCACGTTGTTGTTTCTTGGAGTCGTTCCCTGAAGCCTCCTCACCGACTCCTCGTTTATCCAGCCGGGACGTCGGAGTTTCTTTTATTTGTGAAGTTTTAGATGAATTTTATCCAAATCCAAATCCACTTCATTTCTACAGCACATTTTACAAACAAAAGAGTTTCCAAAGTGCTGCACAGAAATCAGAAAACGAAGACAACGAAAAAGTAAATCGGTTAAACTAGGGATGGGCATTCGATTAAATTTTCTTAATCGATCGTCGGGAGAATTAACAATCGATTATCGATTAATCATTAACGTTTTTATATTAAAAAGATAATCATTATTATTACTATCTGCACTACTAATCTGCATAAATAAATTCAACTTTACGACATATAAACTGTAACGACTCTAGAGCCACATCAGCTGTTTGACATTATAATGTGTTTAATTCAGTTTAGCGCAACTCTCACAGAAACAAAACTTAAACCACATGACTAATTTGCATAAACTAAGCAAAGAAAAAAAAAATCAGCTCTTGTGTCACTGATGTGGTTCAACGTCTGTCGGATTAAAAGACATGACTCAGGTGAATACAGGTTAGTTTGACCAGATTTGTGTTTGTCAAAACCAGGACAGCGTACGGGGGGAGGGGGGTGGGGACTCGTCATCCACATTGAGCGACTCTCACCTGGAAAAACTTTTTCATGTTTTTCTGTGTCCTGGTGAACTTTTTTCCACTGGACACTGAAACATATTTGGGCCCAGTCAAGCAGAAGTAAACAGCAAGACCAAAAATTCAAGTTAATGCCATCCATCCATCCATCCATTTTCGTCCGCTTATCCGGGGCCGGGTCGCGGGGGCAGCAGCCTAAGCAGGGACTCCCAGACTTCCTTCACCCCAGACACGTCCTCCAGCTCCTCCAGGGGGACCCCGAGGTGTTCCCAGGCCAGCCGAGAGACATAGTCCCTCCAGCGTGTCCTGGGTCTTCCCCGGGGCCTCCTCCCGGTGGGACATGCCCAGAACACCT